GAGCCAGCTCAGGACTCCTGAGCCACACCGCACAGCTGCCTGAGGGGATGCGCCACTCAGAGAGTTCCTGGGACCCACTAGGCCAGTGTTGCCATCAGCATCAACAGCTTCAGAGACTGGGACACAGGCTGGGGTGACTCCAAGGCTGTGGGTGGCACCTGCCTCAGAGAAGGGACAGGCATAGAGACACTACCGGGATACTGGCCACCCCCCTGCCCTGTGCCTAGGTCACAGCCTACACACTGCAGCCCTGTGCCCCTCACACCCAGCAGGTTCCTGCTCCAGCACAGCTCCTGGACTGGTCCCAGGTGCTGGCCCCGGGAGTTTCAGTCCAAGCATAATTCACTGAGGCATGTGTTTGGCAGCGGGACCCAGCTCACCGTTTTAGGTACGTGGCTCTCACAACCTTTCCCAGTCTGTCCCACCCTCTCCTGTCTCTGGAAAATCTGTTTTCTCTCTCTGGGGCTTCTTCCCCTCTGCTCTCCCAGCCTTAAGCACTGACCCCTACCTTTCTCCATGGGGCCTGGACGAGGTGCGTTAGTCTCGGGGTAACCGGCAGGAAGGGCCCCCACAGTGGGAGCAGCCACCTTCAGGTTCCAACAGCAGGACACAGCCTGGTCCCAGGCCCTGGGCTGGGATTGGGCAGGGTCAGGGCTCCTCCCCTCTCCCAGGGCAGATGTCTGAGTGAGGGACAGAGGCCGGTTCTGATGAGAGACAGTCCCCGGGACCCCAGGGTCTAGGCTGAGGGCTGGGTGCCCATCCAGCCTGGGAGGGCCACACGGGGGCCTGGGGACACAGGGGTCACCTTGAGGGGAGGCCAATGGTGGGCACAGAGAGGGCTCTGGGTCTAGGCTGCAGCTCTGTGTCCTGTGCTGGGTTGTGAGGACATGGGGACACAAAGGGATGGGTGAGACTGGGTGAGGTCCCAGAGCCCAGCCCTCCCAGGACAGTTACCAGAAAGGAGAGGGTCTCTTAGGGCAGAGATGTGTCTGTCCCTGGAGCCCCGTCACCTCTGAGGCCTGGTGTCTCTCTGTTCACGGGTCGACCTCCCGCCTTCATTTGAGGAATGGCACGTTAGACTCAGGAGGTGACTAGCAGGGAGTAAACGGGGGTGCAGAGAACTCCACGGCCACCAGGTGAATCAGAAGCTGCTGGAGTGGGCATGGGGGCTGCGGTCCCCCGAAATCTGGGGAAGCAGCTCCAAGAACCCAGCCGATGTGAAGGGTCCTGTGGTCGGGCTGGTGGGGACAGGGGTGATGGCAGAGCCCCAGGGTTTGTCTGGGTGGACCCCCTGCTTCACCAGGAGAACTGAGTGGGCCAGGTTGTGGCACAGCCTGGTGTCCCAGGGGACGGGAAGCTCCAGGCCATGCCAGGCTTGGGCCTCCCCACACCCTGCCAGGATGGTTTTGTGTTTTGTGGGGGAGACCCCTAGATTCCAAACTCAGACTCCAGAAACCAGGAAGGAGGGAGCGCAGCCTGCCCTGGGTACACACGGGGAAACTGAGGCTGCAGAGGAAATGACTGGGCCAGGACGCCTGGGAAAGGTGACTTGGGAAGGCCCCTAGGAAGGTACAGGGCTGTCTGCTCTCCAGTGGGCTCCAGTGGAAAGGAGGGAATGAACAGGGAAGGAGAGGCCCTGGGTGGGCCAGACAACCACACCATGAACCCTCCCAGAGACTTTAGACAGAGAGAGGCGCTCCACAACACCCCACTCTCCCTCTGCCATCTCTCACCCCCTCCTCTGTCCACACAGGTCAGCCCAAGGCCACTCTCTCGGTCACTCCGTTCCCGCCATCCTCTGAGGAGCTCCAAGCCAACAAGACCACACTGATGTGTCTCATGAGTGACTTCTATCCAGGAATCTTGATGGTGACCTGGAAGGCAGATGGTACCCCCATCACCCAGGGCGTGGAGATGACCACGCCCTCCAAACAGAGCAACAACAAGTACGCGGCCAGCAGCTACCTGAGCCTGACGCCCGAGCAGTGGAGGTCCCGCAGAAGCTACAGCTGCCAGGTCACGCATGAAGGGAGCACTGTGGAGAAGACAGTGGCCCCTGCAGAATGTTCGTAGGTTCCCAACCCTCACCCCACCCACAGGGGCCTGGAGCTGCAGGATCCCAGGGGAGGGATCTCTCTGCATCCCAAGCCATCCAGCCCTTCTCCCTGTACCCAAAAACTCTCAATAAATATCCTTTGTCAACCAGAAATCCTGCTCCCTCTCTTCATTTCTTATCTCTCATATGATTTGATGCTTCTCCTGGGTTCTGTGTGGCGTTGGGGGAATCCTGGCACCAGTGGGAAAGTAGCCTGCAGGGGAGGATCACAGGCTCCCCGGGGTGTCCCCTGGGGAAATAGGTCAGGATAGGAGGAGTCGGCTTACTGAACACCGGTCCCTCCGTTCTCTCCCTCCTCCCCTTCCTTCTTGCAGCTCAGCCCCAGACACACTGTCTACTTTCTGGAGAGAGCTATTTCTGGCTGAGCCTCCAGATATGCCCTCTGTCCCTGTCCTGGTCTGGATCCTCTATCCATACATGGCCTCTCTTTCCTCAGCCTGGAAATCCTACTTTGGCCTGGAGCCCCTCTACTTCTGGCCCTGGCCCCTGGAATGCTCTCCTTCCTCTCTGCCCAACTCCCCAGTCCTGAGAGCTGGACTGTCTAGGACACTCCAACACCATCAAATTCATGAGCTCTTATATTTTGGGCCCACCTTGATTTTTCACCTGACAGCAGGTTGAGAAGTGTGATAAAAATAGGAGGAAGCCAGGAAGGAAATATACATGAAAGGCCTGCAAGAGGATCAGAGACCTGCCCAACCTCACTTGGCCTCTTTTCAGGACCTCTGGAAGTCTGCCACCAAGTGTCGCCAGTCAGAAGCCAGGCTGACTTCCTCCTGAACCAGACACTGGAGTCATTCCCTGCAGCTCAACAGGAGAGTCTCTGCTTTTATATCTATCCGCGAGAATTTCAGCTCAGTCTCACTTTGTTCATGGAGCCTTTTCTGATCGATCATTCCATCTGTCCATCCATCCATCTGTCCATCCACTGTCCATCTATGCATCATCATTTATTCATCTGTCTTTGCATCTATCTATCATCTAACAGTTCATCCACCCATCTACTTGTCCATAGATCCATCCACAGATCCATCCATCACCAGGCACTGTGTTGTGTGTGCTGGGGACCTTGGTGTGATCCCCCATCTCTCACCCCCATCTCTCCCAGGTCATTGCCAACAAGAGGCACTCCTCATAGTCATGTCCAAGGTCCTTCTGCTATGCCTGGTGTCTCTGCTGGATGTGACGGGGCTGGCCCCTACTTTCCAGTGACTCTTTTCCTTGAGGTCTTCCTCTTCCTGGCATCTGTTCTCCATGGCCCATGCCTGTGCCAGCCCCACTGTTGCCCACATGGTGAGGCTGGAGCCTATCCCAGCTTCAAACCTTCAGCTCCACCTCAATTGCCAACTCAACTGACCATCCCAGTGAGCTGCCCAACAGGAGTCTAAAACTAATCACGTCAGGAGATGGCCACCTTCCCCAGCCCAGCTCTCATTTCCATCTTCATCTCATCCCAATGACCATGGGTGGTCTCAACCCCTCAGCCAGGCACCAGGTCCTGGACTCCAGTCACCTTTACCCTCCCACCATTGAGTAGCTTTGTGTACTTAGCTACCATCATAGACAGTCTCTTTTCTTTGAGACAGAGTCTCGCTGTGTTACCCAGGCTGGAGTGCAGTGGCGTGATCTTGGCTCACTGCAACCTCCGCCTCCTGAGTTCCTGGTTTCAAACGATTCTCATGCCTCAGCCTCCCAAGTAGCTGGGACTACAGGCGATACACCACACCCAGCTAACTTTCTGTTTTGCAAAACAGAGTTTCACCATGTTGGCCAGACTGGTCTCGAACTCCTGACCTCAAATGATCCACCCACCTCAGCCTCCCAAAGTGCTGGAATCCTGTGGGGGACCTGCCTATGGGGCCAGCGGAAGGGAGGTTCTGCCTGAAATGATGATCGCCTGTGGGTACAATGTGCACAGCGATGACCAGGCTATTGTGTCCCAAATAGTCATAAATGGGCCCAGATCGCTTGGTGCTTTGTCCGGGGACCTCCCACCACAGAGTGGCTGGCGAGGGGCTGAGGTCACTGAGAGTTGTATCCTCCTGAACCCTCTCTGGGCTGCTTTGGGAGGCACCTGCCGTGGATAGCTTGGGTCTCCTAGGGGCTGGGCTCAGGAGCGATGCTGGCTGAGGTCTGATGACCCAGGAGACTCAGGAGAGGGAGCCCTCACACATCCAGCTGGAGCTCCGGGGATGGCCTGCCCAGTGAGGGTGGGAGTGGACAGGCGACATATGCCAGGGGAAGCCGGGGAGGAGGTGAGGAGGGAGGAGGGGGAGGAGGAGGGAGGAGAAGAGGAGGAGGAAGGAGGGAGGGGGAGGGAGGGGAGGCCTGGGCACCCTTCGGGGATGGCGGCCACCACCCTGTGGACGTCGTGCCCCTGCCTCCGGTCCTGCCCTACCCCAGGACTAGGGGAGGTAAGGGGGCGGTAGCCTTCGTGCCAAATGCCTGCCAAGGGAGTGAGGCAGAAATCTCAGAATCAAAATAAATATATTTTAATACTGACATTAAGCAATGAAATTAATTCAAACAAATCCATTATGGAAAAATATTAACACTTCAGTTAAAGGTCGAGGTGTGTGTCTGGCTCCCCTCCAGGGTTGCCTTCCCTCCTCCCCCTCTGGCTTGTCTCCTCAGTGCATCCTTTCCCGCCTCCTGCCCATGAACCCCACATCCCGGGAATATCTCACCCCTTACCTGCCCCACCGGCTCCTCAGGCTGGACCTGCTGCTTCCTCCAGGGGCTCCAGGGCCCAGGGCTCTGCTCTGCGGTGCAGCCGTTGGGTGCACCAGGCCATGGGTGCAGCGCCAGACCCAGCAGCAGGAGGCCAGCGTTGCCTGAGTTGAGACACACAGCTCTACCAGGGTCCTCACGGCCCCTGGCTGTCCACAACTCCTCCTTCGGCCCTCCAGGGCAGGGCCATAATGGCCTGACTTGCAAGTGGGCTCCTGGAGAGTGGTGCCCCCACATTCTCTACGCTAGCAGCAGCTGTCCCAGGAGCACCCCAGTCCATGTGGCCCCATCCTCATCTCTGGTCCCTGCCCCAGCTGCAGGCCTTCCAGCATCCATGGCCCATTACCTGGGGTTCTGTCCCAGAGCACATCTGCCAACTGCCCTGCTGTGGTCAGGATCAGGGCTCAACTGCCTCCCACACCTGTGGGCCAGCGCTTTGCCCTGGGGCCCTGGGTGCTTGTTCAGGACCTCCCACCACAGGCAAAGGGGTCAGCGGGGCTGAGGTCACACAGGGAGGTGGGCTGCACCACATGGCCCCAAGACCCTCCCACAGAGGCTTTCCTTTGGAAGACACCCTGGATGGGTTTGAGTCCCCTCAGGGCTGGTCAGGAGGGTGATGTGCTGACTTCAGCCAGCCTTCCTAGGGCGCCACTGGGTCTGTGAGGCAGCATCTCGCACTGGGGTCAGAGAGCCACCCAGCAGGAATCCCCAGGCTTGAGTTCAGGCTGGGCTGGGGGCTCACTCTCTCCCAGCCTGGAGAATTTGTGGTTAGAGAGGAAACAGGTTTAGGAGGTTAGCTAGAGAAGTCACTCAACGGTTCAAGTCCAGGAATCATGATGGGGTAGTACCCATTGCAATGTACCACATTCAGACGCCTCACAGACCTCACATCACACAGACTTTTTAGACACAGAGACACACAGACACACACACACACTGACTTCCTGAGGTATAATTGATAAACTATATATTGACCACCTACAATGTGATGCTTTGCCACACTAACAAAATGATTAAATCAGGCTGACTCACCGTCCATCTCCTCACATGCTTATGCTTATGAGAACCACGGAGATCTAATCTTAGCAATTTTTCCAGTATACAATACATTTATTAACTGTAATCTCATATTTGTCACGGTACATCTCCAGAGCTCATTCTTACAGATTTCTGCTCAGAGGCCAGTAGCTTCCTCCCGAGCAGTGGCGCGTCATGTCAGCGCTTCAAACCAGGCCCCGGCTGCACAGCCTGCATCAGGACCCTCTCCCAACATCTTGGACCCTGTGTGCTTTGGTGGTGAGGAGCGATGTGGTAGGAAAGGGTTTAGGCACCTGTGCTGGGTGGCCAGGAGCCAGGCTTTTGCTGGTGCACTTATGAGAGGCCTCTGGTCACCAGGAGTCTCAGGTTCCGCTCCTCCAGAGGTGGGGCTGGAAATACTCAGCAAATCTGCCTCTTCAGGACCAAAGGGGTTGGGGGTTGGTGTGTTGGGAGATAATGCATGTCAAGTGTTATTTTTTCTTCATTTTGTAAAAATTCTTAACATACACATTTCAAAATTTATCATCTTCAGCCTTTTTTTTTTTTTTGAGTCTTGCTCTGTGCTGAAGCTGGAGTACAGTGTAGCGATCTCGCTCTGAAACCTCTGACCTGGACCAAACGAAATTCTCCTGCCTCAGCCTCACTGGTAGCTGGGATTACAGGCATGCCTCCACCAGCCCAGCTGACCTGTGTTTCCACAGTAGAGATGCAGGGTTTCACCATGTTGGCCAGGCTGGTCGATCTCACAGCCTCGCGATCATCCCTTTAATTTAGTTGAATCAGGTGTGACCACTGCACCTAGCCTGTCTTAAGCCATTTTAAGTGCTGGTTCAGTGGCATTAACTCCCATTCTGTATCGTGCAACTATCACCACATCCATCTCTAGATTATTTTATTTATTTATTTATTTATTTACAATGTGAACTATTTGCGGTAGTCTGCTCTGTGGCCCAGGCTGGAGTGCAGTGCCGGATCTCAGCTCACTGCAAGCTCCGCCTCCCGGTTTACCGCCGCTCTCTGCCTCAGCCTCCCGAGTAGCTGGGACTACCGGCGCCGCCACCTCGCCCGGCTAGTTTTTTGTATTTACTAAGTAAAGGCAGGGTGCCACTGTGTAGCCAGGATAGTCTCGATCCTCCTGACCTAAGCGTACGATCCGCGCCCGTCGGCCTCCCCAAACTCGCTGGATTGAAGCGAGCCACTCTTGCAGCCTTTTTTTTTAAAGTCTTGCTCTGTGTCCAGGCTAGATCACGGCAGGCAATCTCGCTCATAGCAATCTTCCTCCTGGTTAGTGGTCACTCCACTGTCTCAGCCTCCTGGTAGCCAAG